TAACGCGAGCTAACATAATCTCAAGCATTTTTAAAGACGAACATAACGATGAGCAACGAGTTTTCCCCGTTTCGCATGCGGCACTGCGAGAAAAGGACCAACATCAAAGAATGCTCACCGAAACTGTCGATTTACATAGCTCAAGAAAAATTTGGTATGATTTCAGCAGTTCAAGCCAAAGCGTGATCATTAATGGGGGAGGTAACAAGCAGAAAAGGAAAGATAGCCAACTCGCGTTCTCTACTAAACGCTTCTGCTGCTGAAACCGAAACCCTAAAAAACGGGGCAATAACCGTGTAACTGACTCTTCTGCTACAAAAATAACACGTAAAATCTCCTAGTCCGAGGATGCCCTGAGGGTTTTGATGAAGTCCTTTTAGAGAAGCACACTTCTTCTTGCGTATGGCGGCAACTGCTAAAGGTTGAGGTCTAATTTTGATAACCAAGCAATGGAACCGGTTTTCAGCGCAGGTAACGCGGCGATCCTTTTTTTCGAACTTTCTCTTGATTTGCAATCGCTGACGATGTGGCCGACTCTTTGGTATGGATAGCCGCAATCGCATACAGAGGATTCTTTATAGCATTACTTGTGCAGGTTGTGACCTGTCGTGACGTTGGTAGTACGGGTCCTGTTCAGAGTTGCCAATCATTTGTGGGCCAAGTGGACCCGGATACTGTTCTTGTCGGATCGCCAATTAGGTGTCTGTATGGCACGCTGGAGCTATTCCAGATCTTTATCCACTCATCACTGTAGTCAAAAAATTCCGTTAAGCCAAGGGCGGTTTTCCAGAACGGTTTCCGCAATTTCAATCTTGCCGTAGGATGGTTCTTGAGTTCTTGGTGTATGGGCAGGTTTGGTTCATCCTACAATTAGCCGTATTCTTTTAGGCAGTTGTAGCATCTTCTTATGTCCGGCGGAGGAATGCTAGAGAGTACTGGTAACCAGGGAAGTGGAGTACTGTTGGGGGTTCTTGTTAACAGTCATAAGCGTTGTTAAGGATCAATGAGGGGTCTCTTTATTGCTGCTTTGGAGTCACGTCGCAGAACAAGACTCCAATCTACGATGACGAGGACTGCGTGTTCCTGCAAATTTTTTTCACGAAGTTATTGCGAGCCTTTGGTCTTTGCCCAGGTCTTTCGAATGTGTTCTCGAAACGTGAGGCTGCGGTCGGTCAATGATTACTCTCAGATATTTTCAATCAATCTGGTTTTCCACTCGGTTTGTGCAGAAGGACACTGTCTGATGTTTGGGGCATGCCGTATGTGTAGTTGTTGAAGAGCTTGGTGGCAGGACGGAACCTCGCGGTAATCAGTCGTTTACTATTTTAGTTGAGTTCATTTGACCACGCAGGAATACACGGAATCTTCTGCTGCTCAGCGCTGATGGTAAGAGGTATACGGCACTGCGACATTTCAGTATCTTTGCTGATTTCAAAGACAGTCCGTACCGAAGGCGCAGCCGCGCTCTATGGGAATGACCCCAGTCTTTCGTCATCATTGGAAGCCAGATTCGATGTAAGATGTCACTGCGATTACTTGGTCGGCATAGCTCTTTCCTGGCCGGAAACCTGTCTGGTCATGTGGCAGTGTTGGCTCTACGATAGGCGTGAGGCAAACCAGGCGAACCCGCCCAAACAACTTGCATATTCTTTTGAAGAGTGAGATGAACTCATAGCTAGATGCTTCATTACGCGGCTTCCCAAGTTTCAAAATGGCGATTTCCTTTGCCGTCGTCCAGACGGACGGTATATCTCCGATGCATGTCTGTGAAATTGCGATGAGCCATTCTCGACCGTTATGTCCCAGATATTTTAGGAACTCGAGTAAAATTCCGTCTGCCACTTTACTACCTCTTGTTTCAACGAGACTGGCATCAATTTTGCTCCTTGTGTAAAGGGAAGATTTTCGAAGTGAGTGGTAGTAAGATGATAGTAAACTCTTTACGTTTAGTCAGTTATCGGTAAGTCTCTTGCATAAATTTTCTGCCCGTCATGTAACGTTCTGTAGGAGTCTGACAGCGACTAAGTTGCTGATATTCCTGAGGGATCTCTGCTCTAAAAGTGCATAGAAGGTACCATGGCTTGCAACCCGAGTGCGTAAAGCTGAAGTTTCAGACGGTTTCCTGCCAACGTTGACGTTTTCCGGCATTCGATGCTGAGTTGATATGCGAAGTCTAGGGTCAATAGTTCGCTTTGAGTGACCTGAAAAAAGCCGTTAGGCTTGAGGGCAGTCTGATGGGCCCTTAATGGGGCAGTTCAGTTTAGGGTGGTTTTGAATAGGCCTGCTGAGTTCAACGTTGCTATTCTGCTGATTTGACAACATTAGTTACCCTTCCGGGAAGACGCTTAACTGGTGGATCATGTGAACGGTGTTGTTATTCGATCCAGAAGCACACTAAAAATGAGGTATTCATTGGCTGATAACATGAACTATTTGTTCTCAAAGAAAAGATGTCATGATTCTGTCCGCAGACTGAACTGTGATTACTGCGCCTGTGCAACGTGCGCATGTTCACCTTCACGTATGAAATGGAAATCAGGGTTAAACCTTCAGCAAATTATTACACTGCATAATCAGGTAACAGGTGGGTCAAAGCGAAAAGCAGCGATAAGGAGCGCTTGCAACGAACAGTGTGGCCGTACAACCTCGCCAATTCTGGTATGACCAGACCAGAATACCACGCTATCCGTATTATTCGTAAGTCACTGACTTTCTATCCGTTTCTCGACTGGCTGTGCCGAAGCAATGTGGGATCAGTTCCTTGTTCATGAGAATTTGCAGTTCAAACAAAGGGTGTCATTTCAGCGTGATCGAACTCGTCACCTTGATCTCAAAACCGAACCCTCTGCTACTGCATCATCACATCATACGCATATCTTTTAGAAGCAAAATTCCATTCAACCGTTTGACACTGCGTTATTACACCGCCTCATGGCTTCAAGAGGTTTACAGAGATGGTCATTAAGGATGTCCTGAATCCACTATACTTCAGCACCTCCTGTGAAATGATTTGTACGGCACCATTTTTGTTAACTAGTGCAATACGCCGTTCCTGCTAATGATGTTTCAGGTGCCGGTTGGTGTAGTGGGAGAGTAGGTACTTTCGTAAGAACTTTCCCAAAAATATCAAAAAGGGAGCTGAAGCACCGAGAACCTATGTTTTTCATACAATATACGCACAGCACCGTTGTAAGTATGAAAAACTATGTACTATTTCCGATGACTAATCAACATTTTCGGAAGTTCATTTTTAAAACATGCCAAAAGAATATAAACTCTCCACATTTTGAACAGTCGTGATTTTAGGTGTTTAGACTTTATACAGAGTTTCTCCTTGATAGCCGAATTTTCACTTCTGCCATAAAAATCATCATCAGAGAAGTTCAAAAACAACACTATCACATATCATGCCTAGTCACTGATTTCTTTTCAAAAGAGGGAGGTCTAGATGTTCAATACATTTTCGTCCGCAAGATCAAAGCACAGCATGGTCGTCAAATTAACTAAATAACGATATCACGGCTCAGTCATTGACTTACTGACCGTATGAACAATTTCAACAAGCAACAACAAACAACTGCCTGTGAACAACCATGATTATGGCTTCGGTGGGGAAACCAATAAGCCAGAATAAACAGAAAATTGTACCCGCCTAAAACCAGTGATTTGTCGAAAAGCTTTTACTGACTGACTGACTGATTCACATCGGCTGGCGAATATTTTAAAGAACGCTGCCCACCCACGGCATACACAATTATCTCAGTGCGTCTAAAGAAATTCTTGCTCTATATCAATGTAGACCACGGTTTAGTGTGAACAGTAAGATAATTCTGTGAAGCTCGTATCCGCCGTTTAAAATCCTTCCATTTTTCATAAGAATCTAGGAATATGAACATCAGAGTTCCGTCCTTGACCAGTCAGAGTTGCCAGACATGGCCATTTTATCTGTGATTTCGTACCTCCTTAAACTCATCGGTAAATAATTCAGTCTCATATTTACGGCAGTTGTGTGCTGTCTTTTACTATTTTCTTGTGTTATGACATTATGGCCAGAAAGCAGGTGACAAATTGACTTATGGACAGAAACGATTCTGACTGATTCAGTTAACAATTTTCACGATGTTTAATAAAGAACTTAAATGGAACCTACTTCAGGTAAAAATTGCATTTATCAATATTCATGTCAATTCAAAGTCAAATCAAACCCAACGTATGGCCGAAATTGGTTCCATAATAAGTCAAAAAATCACTGACAAAATGCGTGGTCCGTTTAGGATTTGCCTTGAACCATGCTTAGGACTGTCTACACCCATTGTATACGCATGATCATATAAACTATATACGGTATACTTCTGATCTAAGCTGCAGGAATTGCCTTGCGATCGGTGCTTTCACTTGTTATGTCTTTCTGATACAACCCTGGTCAGCGATGATAGCTTACGCAGAAAAGTATTCAGACAAAAACCGTATGCACTGTGGTAAATGTTCGGCTAAGAGATACTGAAACTCTCTGACAGGGTGTATGCAGAAATCAGTGCCACAGAAAGGATAGTTTTACAACGGGGTGACCGGCAAGAGAAGTTTCACTGTACGTGGTAAGGGGAAAACGAAGAATCGCTGCTCAGCACATCATGTGGCGAAGATTTTGTGTCAGTGAGAAACCGTTACTTCGTTGAGGACCAAGCATCAAAATTCGAAAAGTTGAGATGAGCGGATATCACGAACCTTTGGCAGCTTCCAGCACTGCAAAGCAGCTAATGATGATGATCACAAAACAACAACGAACAACATAAGTGAAGATCTTAGAGGTGCCATCGGATACGAAAAGGCGGTGGCGTTACACCGCTAGTTTCAGGCAACACAGAAAAGCTTTGCAGCCACAGTGTCGTCGGCTTAGTTTCCTTCGACGTCAGCATGCGATTTTGTGAATAGCAAAGAACAGTTTAGGCAATCACGCATAGTAACACCCGACGGCCAACACGGCGGAGTCAAGAAAAAAGTCATGCCAACTCGCCTTGCACCGTCTTTCCGAGATAGTCTCCTTTTCGCTCGCGACTGATGACGTCCGAGTAGATCTTGCCGGTGGTGATGTTGTTGTTAGAGTTCAATTTTATGCCCAGGAACCTCTCGTAGTTGCCCAGGTCCAGATCCACCTCACTGCCGTCATCCAATACGAAAACCTCACCTGAAATTCGTCAACTAGTAAACGCGAAACATTGCACCCATTGCATACCATGTTCGAACGGGGAGAATGTTCCCGCATCGATGTTGATGTATGGATCGATCTTAATCGCTGACACATGGAAGCCGTGCGATTTCAGTATTACGCCGATACTGCTGGCTATAATACCCTTACCGACTCCGCTGACCACTCCTCCAGTGATGAGAATATACTTGAGAGACGCCGGCATACTCACAGCTCGCCACCAACTGTCGCCACAACATAAAAGTGCGGAAACACAGACATGCGGATTCGCAGGTACGTTTAAACGTTACATCGCAAGAAGTACGGTGCCTGCGGATCTACCGTTTTCTTTGTGTTGTACCTATTTTGGCGACGCATTTCTAGAGTCTACATAACCGTCGTTTGCATATATATATTTAGTTGTTGTAGAAATTTTTTGTGTTGTGTTGAGAAGTCGAGCGACGATCGTGGTTTTCGAGTGCGCACACAGGGAAGTTACGGAAATATGTCACTGGTCGATGGCGATAAAGAACTGTCCGACCTGTTGGATTATAGCGCGGTAGGCTGTCAGGAAGAGTTTGAAATAACGATCTGCTAACCACGATGTGCTGTTAATTCTAGATGCTGATTTCGTCGAATCCGGCCGCCGTTGCAGCCTCAACAACTCAGGTTTCTTCGGCCAGCGAAAACGGTACGTCATCGGGTCTCATTTCGAGTCTCGGTCGAATTCGAATGTATACAGTAAAGTTTGTTTTTGTTCTGTCTGACTCTGTGTGTATGTATTTTTTGGCGTTTGCTTTCGAAATTTCCGTGCAACCGATTGTCACTGTGCTGCTGCAGGGGCTGCATGTTCTGTTCTTTCCTGTGGTCACTGACGTCTGATTGTTTTTTGTCATCCCCGGTCAGAGTAGACATAGGCAGTTCAGTCTGGTTGGTCGGTAGCGTAGGGTTGTTCAAACACGTTAGATATACTGTTTGTAGCTAATCTGGTGTCATTCTCTTGTCCATATTCTTGGTATTAGCCGTGCTTACGTCCATACGATGTATCGTACCGCAAACTGTGGTTAAACGTTCAGTAAATCGTCAGCACTAGCGCGCTCATCAATTGTTGTTCCTCATGTAGTCGCCGACGCTATTCGCACAAACGAAGTCTTGCTACTGACTG